TTTAGTTGCAAAATCCACTTGAACATGACGCTGCTTTTTCCGAAGTTTCTCAAAAACCATTCGAGCCACAGAATTCGTTTTGGCATCGTTGGATACAGAATTGAAAAGTCGATTGAGTCGAAACAACGTTAGTGAGAAAATTCGAGTAGTTTTGACTCAGAAAGCGAAATATGAATACACTTAGGTTCAATATTATGCCAACATTTCATGTTTTCCGTCCCATTTTTGCTCATTTCTCGGAAGCAAAATGAGCAAGAACGCTCATTTGTACATCATTCTAGAGAAAAATGAATGGCCCTTTTAGAAAGTGAACCATCGATAAGCAAACACGACCCCCCCAAACCCCCCCCTGGATCTGCCCTTGGGGTTAACAGGGTTAACAAAGGTTAACAGAGCGAACTTTCACACATCTATCTATTAGGGATTAACTGTCAACAAATTTTACAAAATATTTTTTGATCAAAAGGCGAATCTATCCAAGTATTGCGAATTTAAGCTAACGTTGTTCACTCCCCGATTGAGCCTAAATAATAAATAAATAATAAAACGGACACTAGAAGCTATTCTAGTAAACTGTCGGTTTGTTGTACAGCAACTTACGTTGCTGTAGATAGATTAACAGTAATAAGGAATTTGTTCGCCTAAAAACTCCAGTTTTGGTAGCAAAATTGGAGTATCTACTGATTAAAGATTCTGGTTGGACCCATCAATCCCAACTACACAAACCCCTAGATAAGACCATGAATGGATGGTTTATTTTAACACAACGTTAACTTGAAGCTTCAGCAACAACAGCTGCTCATGAGTGTCTCCAAGCAAGGCAAAGGGGCACGGCATAGTGGTTTCTAAATATCGTCACAGCGATCCAACGAAATCTTTACGACCTACAGGCGTTTTCGCTTGATTAACATGCTGAGCGACTGCCTTGGATGTACTCCCCAAGTGGTTAAGGCATGTGAGGGGTCTTTTGACGGTCAACATTCGTCTGGTTCAGACTGTGAATGATTGCGTGGGAATTTATGGGCGCTTTGGGCACAGTCGGAACGTCCAGGGAAAGAAACCGTTTGGGGCAAAATGGAAAAAGAAATAAAAGACGGGACGAAGATAGGATGCGTAAAAGGCTAGCCTGCAGCCTGCCTTTTAAATATCGAATTCTAAAGGTTATTCGTGGAATGCTCCCATTCACTTGGTGCATGTAAAACCGACTTTCGGACATTGTTTGTGGCATTGCACAAATTCCATACAACTGAATGCCAGACACTTACAGAGAAAACTCTTTTAATCAGCCGGATGTTAGGGTTAGAGAGCTTTTTTGTTCGATGACCGTTCGCGGCAATTTTGGTCCAACAGCAAAACAAGGAAGTTTCCGCGAGGGAATTTTATTAAGGCGATGGAGTCACGCCAAGTTTCCTCATGGGAAGCTACAAACAGCCAGTATTGATTTTCAGCTGTGCTTTGGAAAACAGCCATCACCCTCATCCTGAGGGGTTCGTTTAAGCGCTGGTTGGAAATGAACACAAAAGGCATTTCAGAGTTGCAGTTCAGTTTTAAAGTTGTGTTCACTTTTCTTAATAACCGTTCGTTCCGTTTCCCAGTAGAATTTACCAAATACATTTGCACCCATATCTTGTTCTATT